TCTGCACACAAGGGGGTCACCAGGAGTCAGAGTCGACTCCACAGCAACTAACAGCAACAACAACATCCCCTTTTAAAAATAATTTGATGAGCCATGCAAATAATTAGATATATTGAATAATAAAGCTTACATTATTATTATTATTAATATTTGGTCCATCCTCACCATGAAATGAAATTAAGCCAGAATAGCAGTACCAGTATTCACACCAAATCTACCGGGGTCAAAGGTGACCGTTCTTTGAGTACATGTTACCAAAAAGAGTGTAAAATAAATTACAAATCTAGACTTAGATAAGAAGAGGCTTTATTGAGAAAGACAATTGCAATAGAAAGAACACCCCAATCTCAGAAATCCGCAAGTGTCTCAAGAATTAGGCAAAAAGGGTGTTTCTTTTATGGAGACGAGAGTGAACAAGCCTGGAAAGAACCAGGTGGGGAAGTGGGATGAGAGGATGGTTAGATCAGAGACTGTTCATGCAGAGGCCAGTCTGTTCCCCAGGAGGGCTCCTGAAGGAGGCGCTGTCTGCTGGCACAGGCTGAGGGTGGCCGGAGTTTAGGGACCTGGGGGAAGGAGAGAAGCTTCCTAAAGTTTGGTGAACAAGCATTTTGTTTTGGCTAATCAGTGGGGACAAGTAATTCTCATTTATGAAGTGAGGGGTAGAATGTGGAGGGAATGGCCAGCCTCCTCGTAGGTAAACCGGGGCATCTGTGAGTCTTATCTCAGTCACATGGGGAGGGCAGTTCTTTGCAGTAAGCTGTTTTCCAGAGCACAAAGATTGGGGGTACTTCTTTAACCCTCGCTAATTTCCAGGATCACTGGGCTCAGGGAAAATTTGTCATTGTTAGTATGCATTCAGATTCCATGTGGCTTTGGTTGCATAACACTGCTCAGTGTTCCTGATCATTTTCACCATGTAGGTGTCCCTGCGAGGACCATAGAAAGCTCTTACCTGGTGCGTGCTAGGTGAGCAGGCCTTGCGGGAGCCTGTTTAGCTGCAGAAGGGTGGGGAAGTGTGTGGAAAACCGGTTGGACCTCCATAAAAATCTCTCACTGCCATCAAGTCAATTCTGACTCATAGTGATCCTATAGGAGAGAGTAGAACTGCCCCAGGGGGTCTCCAAGGAGTGCATGGTGGATTCGGTCTGCTGACCTTTTGGTTAGTAGCCGAATGCTTAACCACTGTGCCACCAGGGCTCCTGGACCTCCATAGGAGGTCCCAAACATGCATCAGGCCATCTCTGACCCCGAGTGGACTCCAGGCAGGACCATAGGTCTGAGCTTTATGTCAGAGTACACAGAGCTGGGCATCTGACCCTGGACTCCTGCCAGCCAGCTAACCCACCATACGCTGCCCTGGTCATCCAACTTCCCCTCGGGCCTTGCCAGCCTTGCCAGCTGGCCACACACTCGCCCTTCCCCAAACACCACTGTCTGCCCACTGCTCCTGACATTTGCACCTTCTTTTCTGTCTTCTTTGTGTGCTCAGTGCTTGTTCCCCACTCTCTACTGAGTCCTGAAGCTGTGCTGATTTGAAGGCTACAGGGGTGATGTCCCCTTTTCTATGCACTGGCCACAGCAGCTAGAGGAGCCAGATGGCTGGCCTCGTTTTCCAGCAAAGAACTGAAGGCCAGAGAGGCAGAGGGGTTTGCCCAAAGTCACACAGCTGTTCGAGCGGAGGCAGAACTCAAAGTCCTGTGGGTTCTACTGCCCAGCTGGGCCTTCTCCATTGACCCGTCCTGCCTCCTGGATTCTGTGTGTTTCTATAAACAGCTAAGAGATTCGGCCTCTTCTCGTCTTCTGCCCCTCATTCCCAGGACAAGGCTCCCTGGCGCCTCCGCTCTGTGGGCCACGCTGAGAAGCCCCAGAGCGAGTCCCACCCAGAAGGGAGGACTCAGCTTGGGCTGGAAGGTGGACCACACGGGGACCGTGTCTCCTTGGTCTAGGCATTCCTCTGTGTTTGCTCATTGACCTACTTGGGATAAGACTCGTGCTATGTTCTAGTAGCCCACTTTTTTTCCACCCCATGGTTCCACACAAGCATTTCTCCAACTTATTACAAAGTTGTCAAAAGTATGTTCTTAAGTAAACGTTTTGTTTTAGAACAGTTTTAGAGTCACAGAAAAGTTGCAAAGACAGTACAGAGATTTCCCATATACATCACACCCTATCCAGCTCCCCTAATTATTAACATCTTGCCTTGCTGTCAAAGTGGGTGGTGAAAGCAGTTAACACTTTCAGCTGCTGACCAAAAGTCTGGAGGTTCAAGTCCACCCAGAGGAGCCTGGGAAGAAAAGATCAGCCATTGAAAACCGTATGGGGCACAGTTCTACTCTGACACACGAGGTCACCATGAGTTAGAATCGCCTTGACCCAACCAGTAGTGGTGGCCATTGCTATAGTACATTTGTCTCAACTGGTACATTACTAGTAACTAGGCTCCACTGTTTATTTAAGGAGCCCTGCTGGCACGATGGTTAAGTGCTTGGCTGCTAACCGAAAGGTCAGTGGTTCAAACCCACAAGAGGCTCCTCAGAAGAAAGATGTGGCAGTCTGCTTCTGTAAAGATTATAGCCTTGGAAACCCTATGGGGCAGTTCTGCTCTGTCCTATAGGGTCCTTATGAGTTGGAATCAACTCAACAGCAATGGGTTTGGTTTGGGTTTGGTTTGGTGGCACAATGGTTAAACTCTTGGCTGCTAACCGAAAGGTTGGTGGTTCGAACCCACCCAGCCATTGCTCCTTTCCCTGGCCATCTGTTCCCATAAAGATTAAACAAAAAACCAAACCCATTGCCGTCAAGTTGATTCTGATTCATAGCAACCCTACAGGACAGAGTAGATCTGCCCCATAGGGTTTCCAAGGAGCAGCTGGTGACTCGAACTGCCAACCTTTTGGTTAGCAGCCAAGCTCCTTAACCACTACACCACCAGGGCTCCTAGAAAACCCTATGGAGCATTTTCACTCTGTCATATGAGTCAAAAATTGACTTGACGGCACCTAACAACAACATACTTTATTCAGATCTCACCAGCTTTTTCACTAATGGCCTTTTTCCGTCCCAGGATCCCAGCCAGGACACCACATCACATTTAGTCATCGTATCTCCTTAGGTTCTTCTTGGCTGTGGCAGTTTCTCAAACTTACCTTATTTCTGATGACCCTGACAGTTTGAAGGAGTGCTGGTCAGGTATTTGTAGAATGTCCCTCTGTTGGGCTTTGTCTGGTATTTTTCTCATGATTAGACCGGGGTTACGGGTTTTGGGGAGGAAGACCACAGAGGTGAAGTGGCCTTCTCAGCCCATCTTCAAGGGTACATGCTTTCAACGTGATTTCTCACTGTTGGTGTTGACCTTGATCACTCAGCTGGGATAGTGTTGGCCTGGTTTCTCCACTGTAGTTATCGTCCCCCTTTCCGTACTCTACTCTTTGGAAGCGAGTCAGTAAGTGTGGCCCACACTCCAGGGGAGGAGGGCTTAAGCTCCACCTCCGTGAGGATCATGTATCTACTTGGAATCTTTCTGCACAGCAGATTTGTCTCTCCTCCCCCGTTTATTTATTCATTCAGTCATTTATTTCTGTCAGTGTGGACCCACAAATACTTAGTTTATACTATTTGTTATAGTCCAGTGCTACCTTATTTATTTTGTTGCTCATATTGTCCCAGCTTCGGCCATTGGGGCTCCTTCATTTGGTTCCTGGGTCCCTTTGACCTGTACCCATCATTGGGTCTTTTTGAGTACTTCCTCACCTCCTGGTACTGTAAGATGCTCCAGGCTCATCTTGCATTTTCCCTGCCTCAGCCCTAAAATAGCCATTTCCCCAAGGGCCCTGGTTCCTTTTATTGGAGGATGGTACTAAAGTAATCTTAAGAGTATCCTCAAAGCCCAGCGTGGGGCTCTAGCATGAAGTCTCGCGTTTGTGTCAGATTGCCTGGAATGAAATTGTACAGGGTGGAGAGGAGAGGCCATTTTTAAGGCTCCTTGATCCAGGCCAGCAAACTGCTTTACAAAAGGATTTCTTTATGCACAGTTTCTAAGCCTGGGGGCCACGCTGCCTCAGACCATTTCTCTTGGCTTATGGTACAGTTGAAGAGGAGCTCCATGAAGCTGGGTTTCCAATGGCTCCCTGGCAGTGCTGGGCCAGTGACAAGAGTTACAGGTCCCACACTGTCCTTCATAGCATCTTGAGCACTGAAAATACCGTTCTGAATTGTTCACAGTAGCTTAAAGCGGAAACACTGTGGTTGTCCACCAACCAGCATTAGAAGGGATCGGAGTTGTGGTATACACAGAAACATACACCAAACTACAATGACAGGCCAGGCATGGGTGAATCTAAGCACAAAAGAAGCAAGACACAGAAGGCAGCGTGCGGGACCACTGTACTTATGTAGGGCTCAGAGCACAAAGCCACATTCTGTTGTTTAAGGACGTGCCCTTCTAAGGCACAACGACGAAGAAAAGCATGGAAATGACTGTCAGGACCAGCCAGGAGTCCTTTCCTCCAAGAGAGGGGACATGTGATGGGGGAACTAGGTGCTCCCCAGGGCCTGGCATATCCTACACGGTGATCTGGGCACCCGGCCCCACCCAGCATACAAGCATTGAGTAAATACACTGTCATGTCTCATATCTGGGGACCAGGAGTGGGTGGGCTTCAGGGTGAATCCAGCGCCTCTGACTCGGTTTCCCTGGGACTCTCTTGACTCCACCGCTAGCTTTATCCTCAGATCTGGGGGGGTAGCTGTGTGGTTCTGGGGCTCACACCATCCCCCATGACCACACTGGGAAGAGTGCGGGAGGTGGGACTTCTTGGGTGGCCCAACCTCAAGGGGACCGCCTGGAGTTGACTGGCTGAGACCCAGGTTCCTGAGTGACTCAAGGTGAAGGACCAGATTAAGCCCCCAGACTTCATGCCTCTCCACTGGGCCAGAGCAGGGCAGGCAAGTGGGACAGGCCCATGGGAGCAGCCCTCACCGCGTGGCCCGTTGTCCGGCAGACAGTGGAGCTGATGCAGCAGTATGCCGAGAGGCGCCTCCAGGAGGAAAGGTCGCTGAAGGAGCTGGTGGAGCAGGTGATAGAGGCACAGAAGAATGTCAAGGTGGCGCAGACGAAGCTTCTGAAGGGCCGCCGGCAGGCAGGTACGGTGGGCAAGCCGCTGCATGGAGGCCATGCCCAGCTGTGCTCCCCACGCGGGGCCCCAGGCTGGCACCCTGCCCACTGCTCCAGAGCAGGCCTGGTCGGCAGGTAAGCCGCTCCCCAGCCCACTCAGCACCCTACTTGGCCCCCAAGCTCAGGAGGTGATAGAAGAGAGCCGGGGGCTGCTGGAGCGCAGGGCACAGGAGGCCAAGGAGCAGCAGAGGCAGCGGTGTGCGCTCAGCTCCCAGCTGCGTGCCATGGAGACGCGGCCCACACGCAAGGGCAAGCTTGTGGACTTGACCCAGGTGGGGACCCCCGCCCCCAAACCCTCCCCGATGGATGACCTAGAGAGCCCTCCTGTGTCTTACCATGCCAGGCATTGACCTGGAAGGGCATGTCCAGAACTCCACCAAGGCCAAGGGGGGGGGGTCTCACCCCACCCCAAAATGCACCTATCCACTCATCACTAGCCATAGGCTGGGCACTCACCGTGCTGGTGACCTGGGTCTGGCCCCAGGAGTTCATAGTCCTGCTGCGGGACAGACATTGCCCCAGGCCTCTGCAACCCTGGGGAGGGGCAGGGGGCGGGAACTAGGCCCCTAGGAGTGGGCAAGGCAGGCTGCTTGGAGGAGGCCAGGCTGGCTGTTGAGCTGGTGGGTGGGCCTGGGAAGGCCATGTGAGCTGGCTGGGGACCTAGCCCGGTCCCAGGGAATGGGGGCTTCAGGGGGTGGGGACTTGCCCCAATGGAGGAGCCTTTGGGACACCCAGCTGGAGAGGTGCAGTCAGCCCGAAGTGAGGTCTGCGGGGGCAGGGGGGGCAGGGAAAGGGGCTGGAGAGGCTGGATGGGGGCTGAGGGAGCCCAGTCATTATATAGGCAATATTGAAGCCAAGGAGGGCAGGGGGCGTCCGGGGCTGCTGCCCGGAGCCCAGAGAGCTCCCCCGAGCCTGTCCTCTGTGCTGCCTGGTGACCCTCTCAGGGACTGTGCTTGCTGGGGTGGAGTCTGAGTGTGGCCTCAGAACTGGGGCAGCAGAAAGGCCAGGGCTCAGCAGCTGGCCAGGGCAGGTGGGGAGTGGGCTGGGAGGGACTGGGTGAGGCCGGGCCATCTGAGCCCCAGGTCTGGACTGGCTCACGCTCCCCACCTGACCTAGCACACTGCCAGCCTGGGGCCTCCTGCTACCCCACAGATCCCCGGGTATGGCCTTGAGGGTGAGATGTCCATTGTGGAGCTGCGTGAGCGGCTGGCGCTGCTCAAGGAGACCCAGCAGCGCACACAGGAGGAGAAGCGGGACCAGATTATCCAGGGCAAGCGTGCCCGGAGCCAAGAGCTGCAGGACACCGTGGAGCGCATCTCCCTATGCCGCGCGGCCATGGGCAGGGCCGCAGCCCTGAGGTCAGTACCAGGGCCAGGGGGGCACCGCCAGCCGCATCCTCCCGGGTGGTAGCTCCTTGCAACAGCCCACCACCCCCCTGCCTGGGCAGTGCCTTGCAACAACTCTCCCCATCCCTATGGTTTTATTAGACAATTTCCAGGCACCCAGAAATGGTGAAAAGTCGTGCAGCACCAGCTTGGATACCCATGACCTAAATGCAGTCCTTTTGCATCTAGGTCAAGGCTATGACCTTTTGCTCTATGTGCTTCATCTAGCTAGCTAGCTATGTGTCTTCACCAACCCCCTTGGAGATAGTTGCAGGTAGCAGACACCTCACTCCTAAAATATTTTAGCATGCATCTCCTTAAAAAAAAGGCATTGTCCTACATAATCACAGCACCAGGGTGCATCTAGGAGAATGAACAACAGTTCCCAACATCATTGAATAGCCAGTTCGTATTCACATTTTCCAGGCATCTCAAGACTTTTTGTTTCAAACCAGGATCCACCTGAGGCTCAAACATTGCATTTGATTGTCAGATCTCTCCAATCTCTTTCCATCTAGAGCCTGCGCATGCCCACACACACACATTTTGTTTGTTTTGGGGACACTGTGGTAACTTTTTCAGCCCTGCATGCCTGTCCTGTGACAGCCTGGTCAGGCATGGGTCTGTGCTACCCCCAGAGTCAGGCAGGCCTGGGGGCCCTGGCCTAATCTTATGGGGAACACAGCTGCTCCAGGGGAAGTGGCATCCCAGACATGCTGGAGCACAACCTGGTCCAGAGAAACTGTCTGCGTGGGCTGGGGTGGGGCAGAGTAACTGGTGGATGGAAGGACGGACGGTCTAATTCATTGTCAATGGGTGGGGAAAGCCTTCATTTTTAGCCCTTTGAGTGACTGTTAGGTCCCTGGGTGGTGTAAACGTTTTACGTTTGGCTACTAATCTAAAGGTTGACAGTTCACACCCACCCAGCAGTGCCAAGGAAGAAAGGCCTGGCAATCTGCTTCCACAAATATTACAGCTTAAAAAACTCTATGGAGCAGTTCTACTCTGTGTCATGTGTGGTCCCCATGAACTGGAATAGACTCCACAGCAACAGGGGGGTTTTTTGTTTTCGTTTTTGTTTTTTCTGAGTGACTGCTGCTCTGTTTGCAGTTCAGAGGAGGCACGTGACAAGCAGATCGGGGCTGGCCGGGCAGGGCTTGCTGGCCACCCAGCAGGTCTGGAAGGCGGCAGTCCCCAGGGGAGACTTCACCACTTCCTCGCTGCTGGCTCTCGGCCTGGCAGACCCCAAATGCAGTGCTGGGGAGCCTCCAAGAGTCCAACCTAAGCTAACAGTTCCTGAAGCCCCTGCCTGCAGCCAGACGCCACTGGCAGTAACTCACAAGGAGCAGTTTAGCCGGCAGGAGGCTGGACAGCCCTGGGGTGGTGGTGAAGAGGGACCAGGCACAGGGAACAGCACGTGCAAATGCCTGAGGCTGTGAGGGGCCCTGAGTCAATAGAGCATGTCAGCGGAGTTTCAGAGGGAAAACGTCTCCACGTATGGAAAAGATTTGGAAAGATACCGAAATATTACCACAAAAACCAAACCCACTGCCGTCAGGTCCATCCCGACTCATAGTGAGCAGATAAGGTTTCCAAGGCTGTAAATCTCTACGGAAGCCGACTGCCACATCTTTCTTCCGCAGAGCGGCTGGCGGTTTCAATTGCTGGCCGTTTTTGGTTAGCAGCCCATCGGTTTAACCGCTGCGCCGCCAAAATATTAGCAGGGGTTACCTTTAGGCAAGAGAGTGGCAAAGGGTGTGTGAGATGAAACGGGTTTTCACTTTTTTTACATCCAACACATGTATACACGTGTAATACTTTTTAAATTTTAAGTAAAAAGAACAAAAAGGCAGAGGCACTGGCACGGCCCCACCCAGCCCCTACCTGAGATCAACAGCGGCTGGCTCAGGCTCCTGGACGGGAACATTCAGCCGTCCTATGGGTCTCGCGCTCGATACCAAAACGCTTCCTGCTTAACCTCAGCAGAAGTAGGGGTTTCCCTGGGGCGGCCGCCGCGGCCTGTGTCCGACCGGGCTCTGGCCGAGCGTCCGACCCGGCTCTGGCCGAGCGTCTGACCCGGGCTTTGGCCTCCGCCGTCCGCCCTGTCGCCCTGACCAGGTGGGAGGAGAAGAAAGGCGCCGCGGCGGCCCGGGGCTCCCAGGACAAGCGGGTGCTGGAGCTGCGGCGCCGGATCGCGGAGAAGGCGGGCGAGCGCCAAGGGAAGGCTGCTGCGCTGCGCGTGTCGGCGCCGCGGGCCGCGCGCCCCAAGCCCCGGGTGAGTATGGGGGGGCTCGGCGGGCGGGACGGCAAGCGGGGGTGGGGCATGGGAGTTTTCGGGGAGCCGGACAGGGTGCTTGAGGCGGGGTGCCGGGGTGGGGAGCGGTGTCCGGTGCAGGAGTGCGGAGTACACGGTGGGTAGGGGAGTGCGCGAGAGGGCAGGAGGTATGCGGACTCAGGGACGGATTATTCAATAAGCAAGGTAAGACGGGTTTACTTGTGTTTATTTACTAATCCGTATGCACAATTTCACCTGATCTTATGTGGTGAAAATTAGTAAATAAGCACAATTATGCCTGTGGGTATCCTGCTTAGTGTTAGCGGGTGCATATCGTGCTTACTGGTTAATCCGCCCTGTTGCGGTAGGTGGGCCTGGCGGTGCACTGGGGAGGCGAACACGGTGGGGGACCCCGGAGGGGTGCGTAGGGGCCGGGGGTAGGGTGGGGGGAGGCCGGGCGGTATGCGGCTGTGGGTGAGTGCTGTCCGGTGCGGGGCCAGGCTGTGTCCATGGGGGGCACGATGTGCTGTGGGGACGCGGTGTCCAGTAGGGGCTCTGTGCCCGTGTGTGGTGGGGGGCGCGGTGGGGGGATCCGGTTGTGTCCGTGGGGGGCGCGATGTGCGGTGGGGACGCGGTGTCCAGTGGGCGCGCGGTGTCCGTGTGCGGTGGGGCGACGAGATGTCCTTTGGCGCGGGGCGCGATAGGGGGACTTGGCTGTGTCCGTAGGGGGCGCGATGTGGGGTGGGGACACGGTGTCCGGTAGTGTGCAGTGTCCATGGGGGTCGCGGTGTCTGTGGGGGGCGCGGTATGCGGTGGGGGGCGGTGTCTGGTGGGGGCACCGTGTTCGTGGGGACCCACGCTGATGCCCGCCCTCTGCAGGCGCAGCTGGAGGCACAGCACTGGCTGGAGCTGGAGCAGAGCCGCGAGCGAAGGCTGCAGGCCGTGCAGCGGGAAGGCCCGGCGCGCCGCTTGGAGGCCGCCTGACTCGGGAGCCCTACCGGCCTCCTACTCTTCCCCGGAATAAAGCGTGCGGAGGGCAGACCGTGCCTCCTTTCCCTCCGCTACGGCGCGCGCCCCCTGCTCGCCACGCCCTCCCGCCGCCCAGCCCCCTGCGCTCCCTGCGCTCCCTGCGCTCCCTGCGCTCCCCGCCCCCCCGCCGCCACACCCCGCCCGTGGCCCCGCCCCGCCGCAGGCTCTGTCTGCCCTGGGGAAGGTTGCAGATCAAATACTGTACAGGCCACGCTGTTATGACATGGTACTAAGCTACGTTAGTTTCCGTTGTTTATCTGGAATTTAAATTTAACTGGGCGTCCTGTATTTTTATATGCTAAGTCTGCTACCCTCGCCCAGATCCTAGCCCTTCCCCTGATCCCAGCCCAAGGCTGCCCCATTCCACCGCCCCCACCCCCTGACAGGCCCCTCCAGGGCCCTCAGCCCCTAACAGCTCCCTCAGCATACACAAACCTGGAATCCCTACCACCTGGTGGAAATCCCGACCCCTGCCCAGCGCTAGGTGACTTCGCCTGGGGACCCCCCAAGACTGGAAGTGGCCAGTCACAATGTAGCCCTCACAATGACCCTGGGGATTAGCAACTGTCCCCCATCCTGATGATGAGGCCACGGTGCTCAGAGAGGTGCTGTGACCGGTCCAGAAACAAGACACAACGCTGAGCTTAGGTGACTCTAGCCTAGCTGTCCCAGCATCCCCACGGAGCCAACACCCAACAAGGTACTGGGGCGCAAACTCCCCCCAGTTGGGACCAGGACAGATTCATTCGCCTGGGCCCCCAGCCCCAGCACCTGGGCGTGGCCTTGAGGACAGGGCTTTGGAGTGAATACAAAGGGAGGAACTGCTGCCTCAAGAATGAAGCACATTGTGTGGCGGGACCCCAGGAAGGAGAGAACCGGACAGGCCCATGGGGACAGGGGAAGAAAGGGAGGAGGGCCTGGAAACTCCCAGAACAGGTAGACATCCTGGAGAGACTCCCCCCACCCCATATCCTCCGTAGGCCTTCAGAGGTGATGGCACCTCCGAGGGGGTGGCTGTGTGATGTACCCCAGAGGCTGGACCCCAGGGCACATTCAGACCAGGAAGGTGGGCATCTCAGCAGTGACAAGAGGACACCAAAGGCCACAGGTATCCCCTAATATTCTGATCTGTGTCAGAACCCCAGGATTTCCCCACAACCCAGGCTAGTAAGGAGAGGAATGTCCCACCTTTCCATAGAATCAGGGCTGGCAGCAGATAAAATTTCACTGAAAGAAATAAACATGGCGTTTCTTACATGCTGTGTCGGGCAATAAAATTCAAATCAATTTCATGTGATGTTGAGGAAATGCATTGACGATAGCCATCCAGAGAGGCTCCCTCTGGGCTCTGAGCGAACTCAGGCCCGTTCAGATGGGTTTCAGGAGCAAGTAACACATCTCCATCTGGCTTTCAATTCATTAGCTCACATAAGTGGCGATCCAAAACTCAGTGGGCTTCAGGATGTGCCTGATCCAGGAGCTCTGTCTTCAGACTTGTAGCAGTTCCAGCCTCACAATGTCCAGAAAAAGAAGGACCATCTCTCTCTGGCCTCTCTCCTAGGAGGGAAACATCTGTCCTCGAAGTCTCCCTGAGAACATCTGCTGCAGTCTCACTGGGCTGAATCAGACATGCCCAGGCTAAGCCAGTTCCTGCAGCAGGAGAAAAGTTTGATTGGGTGTCTGAGCGAGCACTGGGGCAAGTGGGGGGAATTACCCTTCAGCTATCAAGCTGGCCTCTGGAGCAGAGGGGGAAGACGGTAGCCAAACAAAATCTGGATGCTATTGGCAATAACAATGAAGGGAGTGGTGGTTCAGCATAGAATTCTCGCCTTCCATGTAGGAGACCTGGGTTTGATTCCCAGCCAATACACCTCATGCACAGCCACCACTCGTCTATCAGTGGAGGCTTGCGTGTTGCTGTGATGCTGAGGTTTCAGCAGAGCTTCAAGACTAAGACAGACTATGAAGAAAGGCCTGGAGATCTACTTCTAAAAATCAACCAAAGAAATCTCGATGGATCACTATGGTCCACAACCGATCCTGGAGGATCAGGCAGTCTTTCGTCCTGTTGTGCATAGGACAGCCACAAGCTGGGACTGACTCAGTGGTAGCTAACAACAATATGGGCAAAGATGCTGGTTGGCAGTCAACAAGGTCCCCGACCATGTCCCACACTCCTGAACCTGGACAGCTGCTCAGAGCTGGCTTGCCAGCACCTGGGGCCACTCCCAGGTACTCTGCTCCTGCAGAGCTGAGTGGGAGCAGGCCTTGGGTCATCCCCTAGAGGTTGTGGCCTGAAGGCAGGCCTTATGTGGTAAATGACAAACGTGTCTCCTTGTACCCACGTCCCTTGCCATATGACTTTACACCTCCTCCCACCAAGACGTGGAATCTGATTCCCCCAGCCCTTGAATCTGACTTGCTTTGGCCAACAGGGTACAGCCGAAGTGGCTGTGTGCCAGTACCAAGCTTGCACCCCACAAGGCCCAAGCTTCCACTTGCTCTCCGGGAACCCACTCAGCTACCACATGAGCAGGCCCAGGGTGGTCTGCTGGGGAGAGGGACCATGTGGAGGAGTTGTCCCAGAGAAGCCCATCCTAGACCACCCTACAACCACCCAACATGTGAGTGCAGCCAGGAACCAGAACCACCCAGCTGATTTGTAGACTCATGAGCAACAATAAATATCTATTGTTTGAAGCACAGAGCTTTGGGGTGGTTTTCTTGCAAAGCAATAGCTAACTGATATACCCGCAAGGGGTCCTCACTGTAGACCCCTGCCTCCCGCTTTCTGTATGAGCCATTAGAGAGAATCAAGCTACCCCTGGAAAGGGAATCAGCCAGGGGGAGATAAGGTCCAGCTGGTGCTGAGAAAGCACTCTCTGAACCTTTATTGGCTGGACGCCTGGGGAATTGACATTCTGCTTAAGTGAATTTTCTGAATAAGTGCAGGTTAGCCGGAAGGCCCCTGTTGACAATGTCTGAAACCCCCTTGGGCAGAGGTTCTTATTTTGGAGTTGAAAAGCAGATTCTCATGCCCCCTCTGAGTTCTAGTGTGAAGCCCAAGAATCTGCTGCTAACCAGCTTCCAGGAGGACTGTGGGCGTCCCAAGAGGCTAGCGTTTCCTCCAACCTGGGGACATTCATCGGCAGAAGGGAGCCAGGGATACTCACACTATAAATTCAGTGTCAAGTGAGGTTTGGGGAAGTCTTGAAGGGAGCTTCTGGGCATGCGAGTAACATTTGTAATGACTGTTTTTCAACATGTATTAAAGTTATAAATAGAAAACTCTAGCTTTTCCTTAAGCTTTGAAATTCAAATTACTAATCTTATTCTATTTATCATTCTGATTGTTTTTAACTGTCGTTTTGATTAGTCACAGATGGGCCCATTTATATTAAATATTAAATATTAATATTTTAAACTGCATTTATAAATGTAAAATCTGATTTTATTTTTTAACATGTCAGTTGTTTGACCTCTCAAGTATTTAAATAATTCAAATAGACAAATTAAATGTATACATTTCTCTTAAATTTATAAGTTCTCTTAAATATTCTAATTATGATCACAAACATTGGAAAAAGCTTTTATTTTTCAACTTAAAATCACTGTCAAAATCAAATACTCAGCCACATATTCTACATTGGAATCAGGAGATTTGTGTGTCAGGTATTCCAACATGCCGAGTTCCCTTACAATTAAATACAATATCAACACACAGATTGTTCATAAACAACACAAAAATATTCATGCTGTTTTTCATAAGAAGGAGCCCTGGTGGCTAACCAAAAGGTTGGCAGTTCGAGCCCAGCAGCCACTCTGAGGGAGAATGATGTGGCAGTCTGCTTTTGTAAAGACTGCAGCCTAGGAAGCCGTATGGGGCAGTTCTACATTGTCCTATAGGGTCGCTATGAGTTCGAATCAACTTGACGGCGATGGGTAACGGGTTTTTGATCTGCTTTGTCGCTTCCATGCATAGCTCAATTTTCCGGGGTTAAAGACACCCCCCAGAAGTAGTAGTCCATCCCAGGGCATTTGGGGTGAACTTTTCACTGCCTGAGGGTGCCTAGGGACCGGAGATGATGGCCATGGCCTGAATATTCTCAGGACAACAGGACAAGCTGGGCTCTCTTTTCTGGTTGCCATGCCAACAGGAATCCCAACCCCATGTCCAAGTCCAAGCCTGGGACCTGGGCTCAAGCCCACCACCTGATGTACTAGTCCAATTCTGGTCTGCAGCCCTCACCCACCAAGGGGCTGGCATGCACCTGTGCAGTGCAGCATTGAGTCTGCCCCCAGATTCCTCCTCTGAGGTAGGTATTATCCCCTGTAACAGGTGAGGGAATTGTTGAGACAAGCTTAAAGGATAGAGCTGCGATTCCAACTCAGGCAGGAAGGGTCCACTTTGCGACCTCTTGATCCCTGGATATCCCAGAGGCCACTGAGCTCCAAGCTTCTGCCACCAGGCTTGCCTCAGCCATGGCCCCTTTCCCAGGATCCAACTCAAGCAGAAGTGCTTCTGCACAGGTTCAGGTCTTCCTTTCCCTATGATTTAGGAGATAATATTGGAGCCATTATTCCCTGTCCTAGAATGTGACCAGAAACCCTGGTGGCATAGTGGTTAAAAGCTATAGCTGCTAACCAAAAGGTCAGCAGTTCAAATCCACCAGGTGCTCCTTAGAAACTTCCGACTATCAGTTGGAATTGACTGATGGCAATGAGTTTGGTTTTGGTTTTTGGAGAATGTGACCCAGCTGGAGCTGGACTCACAAGAACACATCAACTGGGCCCTGAGCTATAAAGACAATAGCAAGGACAATCTTGGAAAACATCTTTTAGGGAACTTTCACATAAACAAATAATAAATAGAACACAAAAGACCCACATACTTTCCACTCTTATATTTTTCTATTAGCACTTAGTGAATAGTAAGGTTTGTTGGACCAATGAAGACTCTCCTGACTCTCGTTACTGAAACCTGTACCAATGATTGTTAAGAAAGAATTCAAAGTGTAGAGTCACAGTTTCTAGCCAATCTGTGAAAAGGTGAAGCTTTCAATGGTTTTGCCCATTTGTAATGTTAATATATACTGATGATTTAAAAAAAAATTTTTTTTACTGTGCTTTAAGTGAAAGTTTACAGCTCAAGTTAGTTTCTGATACAAAACTTTACACACACATTGTTATGTGATCCTAGTTGCTCCCTCTATAATGTGACAGCACACTTCCTCCTTTCCACCCCAGATTTCCCGTGTCCATTCAACCAGTTCCTGTCCTTTTCTACTGTCTCCGGACAGGAGCTGCCCATTTAGTCTCGTGTATCTACTTGAGCTAAGAAGTACACTCTTCATGAGTTATCATTTTATGTCCCATAGTCCAGTCTAATCTTTGTCTGAAGAGTTTGCTTCGGGAATGGTTTTAGTTCTGGGTTGACAGAGAGTCCAGGGGCCGTGCTTTCTGGGGTGCCTCCAGTCTCAATCAGACCCTTAAGTCTGGTCTTTTTACTAGAATTCGTGTTCTGCACCCCACTTTTCTCCTGCTCTGTCAGGGACTCTCTGTTGTGTTCCCTGTCAGGGCAGTCATTGGTGGTAGCCAGGTATACTGATGATTCTGTAACGTTCCTCAGACAGATTTGGCTCTGGCAGCATGCTTGTCCGTTTTGCAATTCTTGCCTATTCTGTAATATTTCCCTGGACTCAGGCAGACATGACTCTAGCAGCATGCTTGTCCATTTTCCCATTCTTGCCTATTCTATAATATTTCCTTGGATTTGGGCAGACATTAGCTCTGGCAGCATGCTTGTCTGTTTCCTACTTTTGCCTCTTTGAATATATGCTGAATAAAACCTTTCTTTTTGCTTTACTGAACTTTCTGATGTTTCTACCCTATAACACCTACACCCATGGACCTCAGGATAGTCTACTCTTAACCTGGCACCTGGGCCTTCTAAGACCTGAGTATAACTCCCCTCCCCATCTCTGCTCCGGGGCACTAGGAAGGCTTCAGTTTCTGGGTTTGCCTGTCAACCGCTCCTCCCTCAGTCCCCCACTCGAGGCTCTGGGACACATGGCTCCCTCTTCTGGAACTCTCTCCTTCGAGTCCTTCAGTTCTCAGCTCCAGCCTCACTTTTCTCCCAGAATCCCTTCCAAATGTCCTGGTTAAGTCTTCCTCTGGCTTCCTTAGGAGACCCTGAGACCCCTCGAAGGGGCTGCAGATCCAGGCCCGGTTTCCGGTGGAAAGTCAGACTCCGGGCCCCGCCCAGCCTGGAGGCCCAGCTCCAGGTACTTTCCTCATAGGCCTAATTCACAAGCCAGGAAATCGAGGCCCAGAGAGAGGCAGGAGTGGACCCGATATTCTGGCCGCGGAATGGCTGGGCTTGGGCTAACGTCCGGCCGCGTCCGGCCAGGAGCACGGCGGCTGGTGTGCGGGGCTGTCACCTAGACGGGCACTCGGAGCCCGCATGTCTCCGGAAATCACGAGTGGGGTCGGGGCTGTCGAGAGAGCACCCAGTCCAGCGCTCTGCGCGTCCGCAGACCACAACTCCCGAGAGGCCTTGCGGGCGGGCTGGAGGCCGGACGGTGGCTCGAGACAGGCGGGAGCTTGAGCACGCGAGCGTGGGTTGGGCCGGAAGGAGGCCCGTTTCAAAGTAGTAATAGATGGTTCTCTTATCCAATAAGACTGAAAATACCCCCACTGAACCGATTGACCGAGGGCACAGGGGCGGTGGCGGCCAATAGGGACGCGAGAAGGGCGGTGCCGCAGCCCCTAGAGCGGAAGTGGACCGCTGATTAGGCGGCGGCGTCTTGCTTGAGGAGTTGTTCTCAGCTGCTACCGACGGGCTCCTTCGTCCAATTGCGCTGGTGGCAGAGGTGCCGGACTAAGCCAACTCCAAGTAAGGCGAGGCCTCGCGGGAAGGGAGCAGCAAGTCAGGGCCCGGGCAGATTCGGGGTTCAGACGCCTCGCGGCCTGCGGAGGCCTCAGCGCCCGCGGCTCAGAACCGCCTCGGTGCGGCGCTGACCAACTCAGGGCCCGGCCCCGGGCCTTCCCCCCGGGACCCTCGGGGCCACGCGGACGCCGGCTCCGCCGACTGCGCGGATGGACCCAGCCTGGCGCGTAAGCGGAAGTGGGGAGGCCTGGGTCTGCGTTCTGCTCTCCGGCGGGCAGCTGCCGCGGGGCTTAGTCTGTAATCTGGGAAGGGAAGCTGAGGCTCCGCGAGGGCGAGGGACGCGCCCAAGGTCACTCGGGGAGTCTGGGCAGGGCAGCCAGGGCTCGGGCCTGTGCGGCCGCCCGCGGAAACCTCCCCCACGGTTTTTGTGCCCCACCGGAGGCGCCTCCTTTGTGTGCTTGCGCCATCGCGGGCCTGCGAGTCGGCCTGGGCGCCTGGGCCCCGTGGGGAAGCCTTTTCAGCGCTTGAATGGGGCCGAAGACGTGTGGGCGGCTGCTCGGGAGGGCTGGGGGCCTGGCACCTGGTAGGGCCTCGGCACGGTGACCGCCCTCCTGACCCCGCTGGTCGCCTGCGGCCAAGCCTGCCCGCCCCCCGCCGCCCACACCGCCCTGCGCCCCTGCAGACAGGTGTCGGCAAACGGACCGAATTAAGGCCGTAGACCCCAAACACCGTACTCCGTAGACAGTTCTTCTCCGCCTTTGGAGCCATTGAGGAAGAAAGGACTAGACGGAGCCCTTTTTGTGGATGTTGGTTTTTTTGTCTTAGCCTTGCAGCTCCTCCTCAACGTTCACGGTCACAGCTCCTTCTGCCTCTGCACCCAGTTGTGGGAGCTAGTCCTGCGGTCTCGGCTCTGCAGGCTTACCATGAGCTTAGCCGGCCTGGATGATCGGGGAGACTGAGGCCCAGAAAGGCGAGGCGATCCGCCCAAGGGTTTCCTGACTGCAGGACTAAGCCTTCGAGAGCAACGACCAGGAGTGCTGGGGCCGCTTGCGATCAAAGGAGATATTGAAGGGGGAATCGTTTCTTCTAGTGGTTTGGTTTGGAAGGGGTGGGGAGACTTGTTTTTCTCAGTTTTATCTGTGAATTTGAGATAAAAATGGGAACATTCAAATGGAAACATACTGCTGCCTTTTGTATTTCCTGAACTTGAGCTTCCAACTCTGATTCAAAAATCTTAGTTTAATACAGTGTTCCCTAAACCTTCTTTTGTTTGTTGTTATTATTAGTGGCTCCCTAAGGAGCCTTTTTAAACGTGTTTTTCTTCTAATCATTTTCCCCCATGAATTTTTTTTTTAATATGTTTTAGGTGAAAGTTTACACAACAAATTAGGTTCCTGTTAGTCGGAATCGACTTGATGGCCACAGATTTTTTCAAAAAAAAAAAAACAATTTTTAGAGAAATTGTTGGAGGTGGCATTGGTTACAGTTTTTACCATGTGTTGGCATTGTCGTTATCTGCGTTGTTTGTTTTGTTTCCATTGATCTAGCTTCACTCCCCCGCCTGCCTTCTCATCTTTGCTTTTGGGTAAATGGTGACTGTGTGGTCTCATGTAGTTAATTATTTAAGGGAGCACAGTACTCACGGGTGGTACTGTTTATTTTATAAACCAATCTATTATTTGTCTGAAAGGTGACCTGCACAAATAGCTTCAGTAACAAGTTTAAAGGGTATCTTAGGGTTACAGTTTTGGGGGGGTTCCTCTGGTCTCTGTACGTCCAATAGGTCTGGCCTTTTTTAGGAATTTGAGTTTTGTTCTACATTTTTCTCCCATTCTATCCAGGGCGTTCTGTTGGGTCCCTGGTCAGAACAGTCGGTAGTGGTGGCCAGGCACCATCTAGTTCTGGTCTCAGGTTAGAAGAGGTTGTGGTTCATGTGGACTGTTAGTCCCGTGGACTAGTTTCATCTTTGAGACTTTGATTTCCTTCATTCTCTTTTGCTCTATATGAGTAGAGGCTAATAGTTATATCTTAGATGGCAAGCTTTGAAGACCCCAGACGCTACTGACCAGACTAGGATGTAGAGCATTATCTTTGTGAACTGCATTATGCAGATTGACTGAGTTGTCTCTTGAGATTACGACCCCAAGCCTTTTAATCCAGTAAGCCAATCTCGCAAGTTATTTAGATGTCTAGGAAGCATCTGAAAACTGTGCCCCCTACGGGGTTTGTTCTATATGTGGATATACATGCAGCACCCACAAATGCATGTATGTGTATGTATGTGCCTACAGCTACACCTGTACGAGCACGTGCATCTATTCGCATGCGCCTTCCTGTACACATATCCGTATCTGCCTGCTTTAGTATACTCGGTTCCTGTACACATATCCGTATCTGTCTGCCTTAGTATACTCAGCACATTTTTGAGGTCTTCTGAGGTCTGTTCTTGGAAATGGTTCTGAGAGATATGTGGCAAGAGATGGGACTGGAGAAATAAACAGGAACTAGATCACCAGGGGTGTTTGGTGTGTCCCCATGTTGAGGAGTTCTGAATTTATTTTAAGGCCAGTATATACCACAGGTATTTGCACACTTTTCCCACAAAGACTGCTGTGGCCGTTTAAGAATAACTACGATTACAAAAGAGGAACACCAGGAACTTTTCTGAGGACTGTTGGATATAAGGTCTGAGTTGACACTAATATGAGGGAGACCAAAATGCCATTATGGTTCACTGGTTAGATTATATTACAGAGAGCTGAAAATGAACATGGCTCTAGCAAAGATAATGAACGTGTTTTGCTCATGGAGGGAAAAGGTAAATGGAGTTCTGACCCAAACCCACCTCAGAGTGGGCCTAATGGCTCTGCAGTTTTAAGCACAAGGAAGTGGCACACAATCATATTTTAGAAAAAGCACTGTGCTATGAGAAGGCTGGATTAGAAAGGTGGGCAGGACTGGTGGCCTAGGGACAGTTAGGAGGACCCGCGTAGTGACTGTGGGGATGGAGTGAGATGGGTGTGTTTGAATCAGTGGAACTTGGTGTCTGGTTGTCAGCTGGCCAGTCACTGCAGTTCATCACTGGCTCTTAAAGGCTATGAGCAAAGCCCACATCCAGTAGTTCATACCCACATTGATTTCAGGGTGCTACTCAGTAATTGGTTTATATGCTATATAAAAGTGAATCTGTAAATTCTTTATATGTGTTGCTAGTATCTGTCTTTATTGAAATGGTTTACCTATGTCTTTAACTGTCCTCAAATCAGTAATTTTTGAAGGGTAAGGTGGCTCATGTAGAATACTACAGGGTTGACTATTTTTATTGTTGAGATATAATTCACATCTAAATATCTTGTTTTTCAGCTGGACTCAGAATTGTAGAGCAAGGCATTTTGAGGTTTCCTGTCTGAGGAGGAAAGCCTGGAGCAGAGATAGTGCCTAACCCTGAGGTTGGGGTTCAGGTTTGAGAAAACATGTTGCAAGGTTTGGGCAGAGGGATCTGGAATGGCCTTTGGAAGTATTTTCCGGGCATAAGTCAGAACTGGCAAGCTAGTTGAGTTCCATATGATGAAGGGTAGGAAAGGCTTGGGAACTTTTCAAAATGAGTGCTATCATTAGCCTGCTTTGCAAATAGAAAGTGTGACCATAAACCTTTACTGGAGTCTTCTTTTTTTTTTTGAGATTTGGGGATTGTTTATTATACAGCGTTATTTAAAAAAAAAAAAAAGCTAGCCGAGGATGGGAAAAAAACCTAATACAGTATGTGACTCAATATAGAAATTTGACTGATAACTTATATTATTGATTCAGTGTGTGCTGCTATATGAACCCTCAAAGTTTTTACAAGCTTGTTTCTTTTTTTTTTATTGTTATAGTTTAAATGAAGTTTACTTTTCAAGTTAGTCTTCCACATAACAATTTATATATACGTTGTTATGTGACCGTAATTGCCGTCCCCATATTGCGACAACACACTCCTCCTTTCCACCCCGAGTCCCCACGTCCATTCAGCCAGTGGAGTCTTCTTTTAAGCCGCCTGGTTTTCTGGTGTGCCCACTACGCTACATTAACTGTGGGCTATACTTCCAGGTAGCTGAGGCAGTTGGCTTGCTGTATAGATTTATTTTTAACATGCAAATTTAAAATTGAAGCGTGTCTGCTAAATGTTACCTCTTTAGTTTGGAATGGTACTAGCAGTCTTTCTGCTGTTAGCCATGTGAATCCTGTGTCCCTGTGGGTTACTCTTGGTTTGTGATGTAATGATACCTACTGTATAGCGAGTGCCTGCTTCTTATCTGTTACTGAGTCACCTGCCAGGTAGGCGTGGTTATCCCATTTTGCATGTCCTGAGGCACTTGCCCAAGGTCACACGATTAGTCAGCTGGAGTCTTAGCCCCTGTCTGGCTCCAGTGACCCCTCCGTGCTGGGCTTTCTTGGGCCGCCTGCATTCTTCCGTGGTGGGGAAGCAAGCAGCCACTTTCTCTAGTAGCTCCAAATAGTGAAAAATAACTTAAAAGCAGAGGATATTATCCTTATTTTATGTTTCTTTTTCAAGTAAGTTACCCATGGAGGGTTCAGATCATAAATATTCTCAAGAAACTTCTCATTTTGTGACTGCTTTATATTCCTGAAGAATCTGCTTATTCCTGAGTAAGTTCCCTCCCTTCAGCAAGGAAGGTGGTCTTCTGCTGCACCTTACCTCTGACTTAGCCAAACTCTTGCCCATTTCTGCTGCTGGCTCTGCCATGCTAAAATGGGCTTCCTTTCTAAGCACCTTCTTGATGTTTTTCAGTTCTTAACTATTAGTTCAGAACCGTTGGTTCTGGCCTCCTCCTCCCTCCAAGGTGAAAATGCCTCAGGTAAAAATGTTCTCTCCTGAGGATCCTGTTTTTAAATCTCTCTTCGGCTATCTTTTGACTTGCAGTGTTAAGGCTCCATTTTTCATACTTTTTCATTTTATTCTCAAAAACACTGCCATCTCTTCCAGGAAAATGAAACAAGGATCTAATGAGCTTGTTAATTTAATTTCAGCAGAAAAAAATCTGTATTTATTCACCGTACATGTTTGTGCCAGGTACTGTGAGGGGACAATTTTTTAAAAAACGCTGTCATTAGGTGCCATCAGGTCAATTCCAGCTCATAGCAACCTTATGTACAACAGAATGAAATGTCGCCCAGTCTTGCGCCATCCTCACAATAGTGGGTGTGTTTGAGCCCGTTGGTGCAG